GGGGGGGGGCGGGGGGGGCGGTGTTACTACCGGCATCTAGTGGGTAGCAGCCACCGATGCTGCTAAATATCCTACAATACTTAGGACAACCCCACACAAGAAAGAATTCTCCAGTCTGAAGTGTCAATAGTGCCAGATTTGAGAAGCCTTGATCTAGAAAGATCAGGGAGAAAGAGTACATTTATATACCGATAACCTTAAAATTGAAGTTATACCTGTATTTGTTCTATATCCTATCATCAGTGAGTTGAGTTTCTAAGACTAAGAAACAGTTTTCCTTTAACATGAAACCTTTATTTTAGAATGAAGCTAGACTAACACAACACTGTAAATCAACCATACTCCAATAAAAATTAAAAATAAACAAATACAATAGAATGAAGCTAGACCCCTATCTTACCATTCGCAAAAATGAACTCTAAATGGATTAAAGATCTAAATAATTTAATACTGAAACAAAAACTCCAAGAAGAAAACAGGAAAAAAGCTCCGTGGCATGGGTACTGGCAATGATTCTTTTGGACATGACACCTAAAGCACAAGCAACGAACTCAAAAATTAACAAGTGAGACTACATCAAACTCAAAAAAAGCTGTGCACAGAAACCATCAACGAAGTGAAAAGACAACCTATGGGATAGGAAACCTTAATTTTAATAGTTTTCTCCCAAGGACTGTTGACACCTTGAGGCCATGTATCTTCAACATAAAATTCATGCTTTAGCATGATTGCTGTGGTGAATAGCGTTTGTTCCTTTCAAGTTGGAAATAACACTTAGGACAGAAGATTGAATGTTCCCACCAAACTTTTTGATAATTCACCAACTTTTATCTCATTGATCTTTCTTTCCAATAAATTTATTTATTTTATTTATTTATTATTTTTGGCTGCGTTGGGTCTTCGTTGCTGCATGCGGGTTTCTCTTGTTGCGGAGCACGGGCTCTAGGCGCACGGGCTTCAGTAGTTGTGGCTCTTGGGCTCTAGAGCACAGGCTCAGTAGTTGTGGTGCACGGGCTTAGTTGCTCCGCGGCATGTGGGATCTTCCCGGACCAGGGATCAAACCCGTGTCCCCTGCACTGGCAGGTGGATTCTTAACCACTGTGCCACCAGGGAAGCCCATATCTCATTGATCTTGTTTGGATCAACCAAATAGGTATGAGTAAGTATTTGTGCTCTTCATAAGATAGTGCTGTGATGTCTGGAACTGACCTAAATACTTACAATTCAGCGAGATGTTACAGGTCCAATTTCCTTGCCCCCTCTGCCACGCCCACCTGCCAATACCTGAGGGCTTGCTAAGTGAATTTTTACTGACTTCCTAATGACTTGTTAAAAAGCGTGATGAACGTTAGCAATGCGCTCTCACTGACAAAGGTAGAAATGTGGTTTGCTAAAATATTTAAGATACTCCCTACCATTGCGTGAACAGAGTTAAGACAGTCAAGGCATGTGGACAGGCCAAGATATTTTGAGACACACGTCATCCTGGTACTAATAGCGTTTAGGTTCCAGGGAGGCATTAGGCCTGCACTCTTAGGAAAGGCACTTGATTCCTTATAATCGTTCCTGTAAAAGACCGCTGGTGTAAGGAGTATGATTGTCTGATGCTGACAGCAAGGATACCAGAATCCTGACCCTATTGTATCACCTGCCTTGAATGAGCTTTTCATGCAAAGTGTTGCCTTAGCACCTAAAACAGCAGAGATCATGGAGCGTGGAGAAGAGGCTGTAGGAGCCTTAGGGACTGCATCGGAAAAAAGGCTTAGTTAATAAATATCCATTCACGTGAATTTGGTCTGAAACTTCAGCAAGATTGTCAGGGATCGGCTAACCCTCACCCAACTCAAACCTCTGAAACTATTTTATTTACCCAAGAGAACTTCAGAGTTTATCTTAAAGAACTTAAGAGTTGTGCTACAATTACTGAGCCTGCGTGTCTGGAGCCTGTGCTCCTCAACAAGAGAGGCCACGATAGTGAGAGGCCCGCGCACCGCGATGAAGAGTGGCCCCCGCTCGCCGCAACTAGAGAAAGCCCACGCACAGAAACGAAGACCCAACACAGCAAAAATAAATAAGTAAATTAATAAACTCCTACCCCCCCCCCAAAAAAAAAAGAGTTGTGCTAGATCAGATTGGTCAATTTGCAATCGTTAGCAATATACCTTCACACATGCCTTTTGTGTAGGTTTATGCAAGCAAAAATTAAATAAGTTGGGACTTCCCTGGTGGTGCAGTGGTTAAAAATCCGCCTGACAATGCAGGGGACACAGGTTCAATCCCTGGTCTGGGAAGGTCCCATATGCTGTGGAGCAACTAAGCCCACGAGACACAACTACTGAAGCCCGCGCACCTAGAGCCCACGCTCCACAACAGGAGAAGCCACCGCAATGAGAAGCCTGCGCACTACAATGAAAAGTAGCCCCCGCTTGCGGCAACTAGAGAAAGCCCACGCGCAGCAACGAAGACCCAGTGCAGCCAAAAAAATAATAATAATAAAATTTTAATTAAATGTTATTCTAATACAGGGTTGTCCAACCCTCAGGCATAATTTTAAACTTCTTAGTAGCCCCATCAAATAAAAGAAACGGGTGAAATTAATTTTAACAATATATTTTATTTCACCCAATATACCCAAAATCTTATCATTTTATCATGTCATCAACATTTTAAAAGCTATTGATGAGATATTTTCCTTTTTTCCAGGCTAGGTCTTTGAAACCTGGTGTGTATTTCACACTCACAACACATCACATCGATTTGAACTCTCTGCATTTTGACCCCTCCGCAGCCTCACATGGCTAGTGGCCTCTGCGCTGGACACGGAAGGTCTAGAGGACTGATTTTAGACACGTGGACCATCTTGTCTTCCTCAGTGTCTCCTGCTCTAGGGTGAATCCCACAGCCCTTCCAGCCTCTAATTTCCAGTTACCAAATCCTTTCCCCTGAAGACTCTGAAATCCCTTCATGGATACCAGGGATGCCAACGCTGGGCAAACAGGTGGGGAGGGAAGAAGGGAAGGACCCCAAGACCCAGAGCCGGTTCCTCACCCGCAGCCCCTGGACTCTCCTGCATGCTTTCCCCGAGGTGCCGCCCACTTTTCAGCCCTGGAACTGGGCATCCGCTGTCCAAGCTCCGCTGCCAACAAGCTCTGCAACAGCATGTGCGAAAATCACACCCTTTAAGGGACCCACCCATGGTCTGAAGTATTATTTTTAAATCAGAAGTAAAAGAATGAACCAAATTATTAAAAGGGATGCATGTCTCCAGGTACAGGGCTCTGAACTAAAATAATGTGAAATCCGTCTTTGGGTGTTTTAGCTTCTGGGCTCATTCTTTTGATAAATGAGTTAACCAGTCGCTGACTTTTGATACGCTCTGCCTTCAGGAGTTTACCATCCTGGGGGCTTAATGATGGGTCCTCAAATCCTATGTCACAGGGATGGTCACACAGAGTACAATGAAAACACAACAGTATTGCCCTTGTTTCAAGATCTGTGCTGCCCGACTCTCCCCACCCCCCCAGCCCCCGGGAGAGCAGAGCATTACTGATGCTCTTGTGCAAATGCCCCAGGGAAGGTAGGAGGCCCCTTTGGAGGTCCTGGTGAATGGCTTTCTGAATTACTCAGGACTGTCACATAAGCCTGGGGAAGCCCCTTCATGACAGACATGGTGAAAGAAAGAAAGCCTGGGTGTCTTTCCAGCAGTGGGAAAGGTCTGAGGAACCAGATAGATCCTGGGTAATTTACAGGCCTTGGGAAGGACAGAAACCAGGGCAGTCCCAGGAATCTAAGCAGCTGGGGTCCACGGCACAGCCCTTGGGGGTGACCCAGCTCCAAAGGCATTCATCTCTGCCCCCAGGAGTCATATCTCTGAGAGAGAGCTGCGATTGGCCCACATGGTCACATGACTGTCGTCTTGCCGACAATCCTACTAGGACTACACTGACGGGAAGGAAAATCAGCCCCACCCCCTTGAGGCACAGTGGTTCCTTGTGAAAGTGATTCTCAGCTCTGGGGATGGGACACTGCTGAGTGGGTGTGGCTAAATCCGGGTCAGAGAAGAGGCAGTGCTGGTTGGAGACCTGAGCTTCACCTTCACTTCACCTTCACCTTCGATATGCTTTTCTACTCTCCCCACCCTCGGCTCCTCAAGACTGCTGAGGATGGAATGGGGCAGGGAATTCTCAAACCTCATCTTAATTTTTACCAAAAATTCATCCACAATTGATACACAATTACTGGAGCTGAAGAACTGAAAATGAGGTTTCAAGGACCTTTTGTGTTATTACTTATAAAGGGATCAAACACTCAAGATTTTAGAAGTAGAAGGGACCCTGGGACTTCCCTGGTTGCGCAGTGGTTATGACTCCAAGCTCCCAATGCAGGAGGCCCGGGTTCGATCCGAGGTCGGGGAACTAGATCCCACATGCATGCCGCAACTAATAGTTCACATGCCACACCTAAGAAGCCCTTGAGCCGCAACTAAGACCCGGTGCAACCAAATTAATTAATTAAAAAAAAAAACAAATAGAAGGGACCCTAAAGGTCATTGGTCCTCACACTTTTTAAAGCCACATGTGTCATCCTTCAAACAAAATATCCCAGGGAAGCCAACATACAGAAGGAAAGCAGAGATGTGCTTCTTGAAGGACATGACGGGGGAACAGGAACCCCGATCGGCTGGCAACCCTCCTCCCTCAGAGGCCCTTCAGCAAATCCATG